TATTAAAGTGTATTTGTTATTCAGCACAACATTCAGGCGCTGTCATCACGCTATTGATCTGTCGCCCCATTTGGTCGGACAGGTGTTGTTCCCCAACAAAGTGATTCTCAAACAGCCCTATAAGAGGATTCCGTTTGAATCGATTGATTGGTTCAATAAGTCGTTGAATTTGCAACAGAAGCTGGCGGTCATCGGCGCCCTTAAGGGCCACTCCCGACCCACGCCTTACATAATCTTTGGTCCGCCCGGCACTGGAAAGACTGTTACAATCGTTGAGACCATTCTTCAGGTGTTCGATAAGATCCCTGAGAGTCGGATCATAGCGTGCACTTCAGCCAACAGTTCGGCCGATTTGATTGCAATCAAACTGTTAGAAAGCGGTCGCGTCTCCCCTTCCGACTTGACTCGTCTCTCGGCATTGCATCGTAAGTCTCACTCCAGACATACCATTGATTTGCGAGTATTGAGTGCTGTGTTTGGGTTTAGGTATGAATTCAATCCCAGAAGCTGTGAAAACTGTGACCCAATTTACCGGCGAAGACGAGAAGATGTGGTTATACCACAGGATAATAGTGACCACTTCCTCTCAAGCGGGCGTTGCCTTCAAGTATAAGATATCTCCGTCTCATTTCAGTCACGTGTTCATCGATGAGGCCGCACAAGTCACTGAACCCGAGTCTCTCATTCCTATCTCTATGAGTGCCATCGGGCACGGGGTGGTTGTGTTGGCCGGCGATCACAGACAGTTGGGTCCAGTGGTGATGTCACACAAAGCTAGAAACGGCCGACTCGACCGCTCTCTTATGGAACGCCTTATGACTAGCTGTGAGCCCTACTCCAGAAACGATGAGTATAAGAAGTACGGCTTTTATAACCCGAGATTTATTACCAAATTATTGCAAAACTATCGCTCGGATGCTGTGATTATGTCGATACCATCGAAACTGTTTTATGACAATGAGTTGCAATTCAACTGTTCCACTGATACCCAACTCTTGAAAGCTATGAAACTCGATTCAGCCATTATTTTCAGTGGAGTTAAAGGTTTGTTAAGACATTTGAATTAATGATTGATTAATGAATGGTATGACTTATTGGTATTACTGTTAACAGGTGAGGACCGTCAGGACCCCGACTGTCCCTCGTGGTACAACCCCATGGAGATCATCCAGGTTTGCAGCTTTTTAGAGAAACTATACAACGCTGCCGTTAAACCTGAAGATATCGGTACAGAATCTATGAATTTTGGATTAACAATACAATAATTGTGTGATTGGGTTATAGGGATAATAACTCCATATCGAAAGCAAGTGACAAAACTGCGAAAACATGTGTTGGACTCGGGTTTGGCTGAGTGTCGAGTGGCCACAATCGAGGAGTTTCAGGGCCTCGAAAAGCGAGTAATCATTGTATCGATGGTTCGCTCGAAATTGGATCATTTGGATCATGACTTGAAATTCAATTTGGGTTTCGTTCACAATCCCAAACGTTTCAATGTTGCCATCAGTCGTGCCATGGCTTTGCTCATAATCGTCGGTAACCCATATGTCTTATCCCGAGACAAGTGTTGGAAAAAATTACTTGACTATTGTCTCGAAAACAACTATTATATGGGCTGTGTTTACGATGAATATAAGCCCAAACACCCGCTAACTATGGGTTGAATTGATTTTCTGCTCAACTTATTGAGTTTTATAGCATTATATAGTGTTATGAAAGTTACTTAGTTTTAAATTTCTGCTTAATTTACCTGAAATCACTGTTACCTATGAATTTTAAGTGATCTCTATTTTTCTATTTGATCTCTATTTACTTTCTCATATTATCAATCATATCCTGTGCGGTAAGTTACTAGTCATTCGTTTTTTAAATAAATCTTTGAATATTATTTTTATAAATCGTTAACAAATAATTCTGACCGTAAAAGTCTTTCGGTCTATCAAAAATTTTATTGTAAAAGTTATTCAATTTGTATTCGAGTTAAACATTAAATTTCATGATTATATTCTGATTATAAAACGATTTAAAGCTTCTCGAGTTGTCTTCGATTTTAGTCCTCTTTCAAGAGATATCTTGTGGTCAAAGCGGCTGTAAATCAACGATTAATTAGTATTTATGTAACTACTGTACTGACAAACACATTGCATACCAATTGGAGCACCGGTTGGAACGCCCGGGAATGGACCCGAAGAGCCAGCGATGTCTATGTGTGAGAAGGGAATGGGCTTCGATGAATCCAATCCATGTTTGTCTAAACCGGACACTTGTATGAGGAAAGCTGCGGGCAATTGATGTCCTCTCGGGGTTCGCGAAGAGGCGGCGTTATTGCACTGAAGGATGTCTTCGTATTCAGACTTTCCGACATTGAATTCGTAGTCTTCTCTGCGAATCGTGGATATCTCGAACGGATCTCCGATTTCATGTCCAGCGCTTTGAATGGTTTCA